AATTAACAGAAGGACTAACGGAGTGCATTTCGTATAGTTGAGGGATCAAAAAAGTGCAAAAAATTGTTAAGGGACCAAAAATGTGCAACTCACTAAAGTTGAGGGACCAAATTTAGTATTTAACCTATCTAGATTTCATAGACCAAGAGAATCCTTTTCCAAGGGGGTTTAAGGTTCAAGAATCCACTCTATTTTCTGGAGATGGTGGATATTCTACAATTGAACACATAGGCCGCTTCATAATTTAGTGTGGCGAGGCCTCCGGTGATGATAATCTAAAGCTAAGACTTTTTCCCAGCTCATTAACTAGTACAGCTCTTACCTGGTACCTGAGTCTGCCACAAAATTTAGTTTATACTTGGAGGCAGATGGAGGACCTTTTCCATATCTAGTTTTACCGTAGTGAGCCAGAAGTGTCCATGGCAAATTTATCTTGTTTGGTGCAGCGACCTGGAGAAACATCTGAGGCATTTCTTGCCAAATTTTGGAAGGCCAGACTTAAGTGCAGAGTTGCCCTGCCAGAACAGGAATTTGTCAAGCTGGCACAAAAAGGTCTGGACATTGAGTTAAGGAAAAAGTTTGAGGGAATAAAGTTTCGTGATTTCTTTGAGTTGTCTTACAAGGTGGCTCATTATGAAAATTTATTGCGAGAGGACACACAAAGGAAATCTGCATCTCATGGGACTTATTATGGTGATGCTAACTTTGATCTGGACATGGCAGAAGTGGTGGCAGACAAGCCAGTTGTTTGCCCAGATTTGGTTAAAGTGGCTCAGTAGATTGACAAAATAGTAAAATGTTATGTCGGAGAGGCTGAAAAACAATACACCTTTGACCTTTGACAAAAGAATACTTGGGACTATTCTGAAATGTCAGGTCTAGACAGAAATCTGGTAGAGCACAGATTACCAATTAGAGAAGATTTCAAGCCTTTTAAACAGCCACCTAGACGAATGTCTCTAGAAGTCACCTTGAAAGTCAAAGAAGAGATAGAGTGGCTGTGGAAGGTTGGTTTCATCAGAACTTCCAAATATGTGGAATGGTTATCTAATGTGGTTCCCGTGGTTAAGAAGAATGGCAAATTCAGAATCTGTGTAGACTTCAAAAATCTGAATTTGACAACACCAAAAGATAAATATCCTATGCCTATTGCAGATTTATTGGTGGATAGTGCAGCACGCCATCGAATTCTATCATTCATGGATGGCCACAGTGGATACAACCAGATTTTTATAGTAGAAGAGGACATTCCAAAGGCCGCTTTTCGTTGCCCGGGAGCTATTGGTACGTATGAATGGGTGGTAATGCCATTTGGTTTAAAAAATGTGGGTGCAACTTATCAAAGAGCCATGAATGCCATCTTTCATGACATGATTAGTCGTTTTATGGAAATTTATATTGATGATATGGTTGTGAAGTCTAATGAGGTTGAGGAGCATCTGGGGCATTTAAAGTTGGCTTTTGAAAGAATGAGAAAATATGGTCTGAAGATGAACCCTTTAAAATGTGCATTTGACGTTTCTGTTGGAAATTTTATGGGATATCTAGTGCATGAGCGAGGTCTGGAAGTGGGTCAAAACAAGGCAAGAGCTGTTATTGAAGCACAGCCACCAAGAAGTAAGAAGGAATTACAAAGATTCCTTGGGCAAGTAAATTTTCTGAGACGTTTTATTTCAAATCTAGCAAGAAAGACAAGAGTTTTTTCGCCACTACTGAAGCTGAAATCAAAAACAGATTTCAAATGGGAGAGACACCATCAGACCGCCTTTGAGGAAATAAAGCATTGTTTATCAAAGCCGCCGGTCTTAGTGCCTCCTTTAAGAGGCAAACCTTTGATTTTGTACATATCTGTCGCAGATGAATCTGTAGGTTGTCTGCTGGCACAAGAAAATAGTAAAAAGTAAGAACAAGCTATTTATTATTTGAGTCGAAGTCTGTCACAGACCGAAGTGAAATATTCTTCAGTCGAGAAATTATGTCTTGCTTTGTTTTTTGCTGCAATAAAATTGAGGCCTTATTTGCTTTATTCCGAGGTTTATGTTATTTCAAAAATAGATGTGATAAAGTATATGTTGTCTCGACCACTGTTGAGAGGCAGAATTAGAAAATAGGTTCTAGCTTTATAAGAATTCAACCTGAAGTACATGCCTCAAAAGGCTGTCAATGGGTAAGCCTTGGCAGATTTCCTAGCAAATCATCCGTGCGTTGAGGTAGAAGCAAATGAGGAAAAAGGTATTAATTTATTTTTCATAAGTCTAGTTCCTTGGAAGCTTATCTTTGATGGATTTAGCACAGATTCCATGTCTGGAGCAGGAATTGTTATTATTTCTCCAACTGGATTGAAAACCCAGATGTCATTTTAGCTAGATTTCAATTGCACCAACAACCAAGCTGAATATGAGGTGTTGATTATTGGATTGGAAGTGTTGGTAGAGCTTAAGGTACCTGTGGTAGAAATAATTGGTGATTCACAATTAATTTTAAAGCAATTAGAAGGTGAGTACAAGTGCACTAGTTTGTCTTTGACACCTTATTTTGCTCTGGCAGTACAACTCTTGGAGGAATTTGGTGATGTAATCTTGAGGCATGTTACTTGAGATTTGAACACAGAAGCAAATGATATGGCAAAAATCGCCTCGGGCTTAAAAATCCCAGAAGGCGTGATGAGCAGAATTATTTTGTGGAAAAACAAATTCTGCCATCTATTCACATGCGTGGTATGGCAATTTCTACTTGTTCCATAGATGTAACCCAGACAGATTGGCGCTATTCGATCATGGAATACCTAAAAAATCCAAATTTTAAGGCCTCAAAGAGAACAAAAATGCAGGCCTTGAATTATGTTATGTTGGAAGATGTTCTTTATAGAAAAGGACATGATGAATTACTTCTGTGCTGTCTTGGTCTAGATGAGTACTGCCAGATTATGTCAGATGTGCATAATAGAATTTGTGGTGTGCACTAAGCTGGAGTTAAGATGAGATGGCTAATTCGCAGACATGGATTCTTTTGGCCATAGATCTTGAAAGATTGCATCAGCTATGCTAAAGGTTGCAAAGCTTGCCAGATTCATGGACCACTGTAGAAAGTTCCAGCGTCAGAACTCCATGCAATCGTCAAACCATGGCCATTTTGAGGACGGGCCATAGATTTGATCGGTAAAGTTTATCCTCCAACTATAGGGCATTCTTTTATTATTGTTGCCACATATTACTTTACCAAGTGGGAGGAAGCAAAGCCAATGAAGAAGGTTGACCAGATCGATATTACTAAATTTCTTAAGGAAGAAATCATTCACAGATTTGGTTTGCCAGAAACAGTGACTTTAGATCAGGGGACAGTTTTTGTTGGTGCACAAGTTGAGGCATTTGCAAAGGAGATGGGATTTATGTTACTCATTTCAATCCCTCATTATGCTCAAGCCAATGGTCAAGCTGAAGTTTCCAACAAAATTATGATAAATCTGCTTGAAAAAATGGTTGATGATAATCCAAGGCGTTGGCATGAGTTGTTATTTGACACAATCTGGGCTTACAGAACTTCACAAAAGAGTTCTACCAAGGTAACTCCATTTTCTTTAACTTATGGACATGATGTTGTTCTACCCATGGAGTTGTCTGCTAGATCATTACGTATAGCAATTCAATGTGGTCTCACTTTTGGAGAATATAATGAAGCAATGATTCTAGAGTTAGAAGACCTTGAAGGTATGCGATTAACGGCCTCAAATAGGCTGCAAACGCAGAAATTAAAAGTGGCTCAAGCATACAACAAACGGGTGAAATCCAGAAGTCTGGCAGAAGGACATCTAGTATGGAAAGTAATTCTGCCACCTGGAAAGAAAGACCCCAGATTTGGGAAATGGTCTCCAAATTGGGAAGGACCATTTTGTATACATGAAGTGCTTAGAGGAGGAGCATATTGGCTTGAATCATTAAATTGAGAGTTACATCATCGAAAAATAAATGAAATCTACCTTAAGCCTTACTATCCTATGATATGTGAGGCTAGGGGTTCAGATACCATTGATTCTACTTGAGATAGATTTGAGGTAGGATTTGTACAGTATTTTATTTCATTGTTTAGCATTTTATCATTCAATAAAAGTGTTGAGTCGAATCTGTAAGTAGGCCAAATCTAACTGTGAACAACCACAACGGCCAGATTTTGGCCATGTCAGATTTCAACCTGTAACAGAGTATGAACAAAAAGTACAAGAAGCAGATTTCTAGAATATGAGCAAAGAAAGAGATCAACATTGAAAAAGAAGTTTGCATGGCCAATAGGCCGCAAACAATAAGTTCAAGGATCACAATATGCAAGTTCAACTAGCAAAAAGCAAAGGAGATACATAAAAGAAAAATCAACAAAGGTTGTTTTGCCAAGTACTCCATTATTCTCTCATGTTCTTGATTTCTTCCGCGGCTTCATCTGTAGAAGCTGTGAAAGAAGGCAGCTGATCCTTGATCTTGGCAGCAGATTTCAAACCAACTTCCATGTCTGCGCGGAGCTTGTTTCTTTGTTCTGCCAAACTCTTCTTAGTTTGCTCTGCAAGAGGAACCTGGTTTCTTAACTCTGAAAGCTCGGCTTCAAGGTTAGAGATTTCTTCTTTAAGCTCTTGGAGATGTTTAACTTGTGTGACATGAGCCTCTTTTGCTGCCAAGAATTTTTCCTTACTTTTAAAGACAGTGGCAATGCTATTCGCTATAGATTTTCTCACAAATTCTACAGCCACTACTTTGTTCTCAAGTACCTGGAACCAAAGAGAAGTCTTTAAAAAAAAAACTCAAATTCAATAGCTCTTTCCAAATTAGAGTTATAAGCTCTTTAAATAGGGAAAACTAATTCTAATTAGAATAGGAAACTAACACCCTAAGTGCTAAACCTAATAACCATGAATTGGGCTTCAAATAAATGAATGTTCAGCCCAAAAATAATAAAATAAATCATGAAAATCACTCAAAATAACCTAAAAACACATGAAATATTAGTTTGCTACAAATTATGGCAGAATTGTGTGAATTTGACGCAAACTGTGTAATTTCGCATGAATGACCTCAATTAAGCTTTTCTTGAACCTAAATGATGTTTACCATGCCTTGATAATCATCCAAGCTTCGATTTACTTGTTACATGTTGTTTTCAACCCAAATCTGCTCAATAAGGCCTTTTAAAGCTTCTCACATCTTCTTAACTTTGGCTCTTGTCACTGGACCTCCTCAAATGTGTAATGGATCCCTTGACATGGTACATGTGCTATCATCTTGATTCCCATCATCCCACTTCCATCATCACCATCGTTTTTTATTTCTCTTTCTTTTCCCTTCTCCATCAATTTCTCATCCAATTAAATCCCCACCTTCATCATCACCAATTCAAGAAACCATTTTTCAATCTTATCTTTTCTCATCCAAATATATCTATAAAGGAAGTGCCAAGAGTTGAAATAACGAGAAAAACATCGATAATATGTTGTCTCCACTACCATTTTTTATATTTTTCTTAATTTCTTTTACTCAAAATTTAAGATTTGTGGTTGTTTCTTAGCAAAGATGGAGAGAGGCTTGGATGAGAAAGGATAATGGTGAAATTGGTGGTCTTTTCTCAATGGGTAGGAGCTGGGCAAGAAGATGAAGTTTTTTTTTTTTAATCTTGTTTGCATAATGGGAGCCAAGCATTTCCCATTCTTTACTACATCCATTTGTATGCCATACAATTCAAATTCAAGATCCCTAACTTTTAACAAAAAAATTACAACTGAATTCCTTAAGTCATTATTGGCAAGAATAAGAAGTTCTTAACATTATACTAGTAACATTTTGGCTTATTGGTCGGTATGTGAAATTTCAGTCGATACTCTAGAAATTTGACCAAAACACCAAATATTTGACGAAAACAGAATCAAATCTTTTACTGTTTTGGGCTTAAGCACAAACCGGTACATATTGCTTGTACCAATTGGTACGAAACAAAATTGACAATCTTGGCTACAATGCTACATCCCCGTATCATTCTTTATAATTTTTTTTCTTTTGGCGAGGTTGATGTCAGTAATGCAATTGCATGAATTAGCTCAATGTTGACCCTAGTTCTTTTGACCTCAAAGATAATGGCTTCTTATCTTCTAGTCCATTGTTTCAATGCTTAAGTTAGCACTATTTAATTCATCTTTAGCAAAGCTTTGTAGAGAAGCAAATAGAGGTGATGAGTCTATCCTAAAGGTGGTAGTTGTAATGACTTAATCTATTATTGATATATTCGACTTGAGCTTCTCAGGTTTTATAGTTTTAAAATGCAACAATAAGGGTTAATAGGTGTTGACCTATATATCCAACATTTCTCCAATGTTTTGTTAATGTGGAATTTGTCTAGAAATGTCACATATACTTCTCTTTTGAAACACAGCATGCTTGCTAAAGTTTTCCCCACTAATGTGCAAGAGGTCACGCAGGGTGACTTTGATATCACAATATTTGCCATGCTTCAAATTAGAAGCAAAATAGGCACATACACCTAAGTGGGTCCTACAGATGTACAAGGCCTAGAAGATGTTGAATATACTATGCGAAACCCATAATTACTAAAAAATCCACTAAAACCTATTATAAAAATAATATCTTAGATAATCTATAATGTTAAGTCAAATAGCTAACTAAATTAAATTATGCATAAAATCTAATATCATCTAAATCACCTAGATGTTCATGTCTAAAAATTTAGAATAACTCATATCAATCCAATTATAAATAAACTAATAAGCTAGCACATCACTAATACTTATCCCCAATGTTTCTAGTCTTGTTATGGTGAATGGGAAAAAAGATGTAAAATAGTTCCATAAGTAAACTACAAATAGCATCATTTTAATTTAAAAGACAACATGCCAAATATAGAATATCAAAACTATATTTCAGATATAAGCTTGTAATGTATCATAAAATCATTTAATGGTCTCCTCCATTAGTCGTGACCAATATTTACACTCCTACAATAGGATAACAACAATAACTAGTATTTACATTCTTGATACAAACTACGTCAACTTGTGACGAAACTCGTAAACTCAAACTTGGATTTACATTAATTCTTACTAACCAAATATTTTTCTAAATCTCTTGAGATAAATATAATTAAATGTCTAAAAACCTAATTAATGGTTTGGCTTAATTATCAATTAGATAGTACTTGTGCCCTTACATGAGGACATATACAATAAAATAACTTCTATTTTTAATTTTTATATAAGATATTATTTACTCTTAAAAATTGAATATAAATTAAAAGTAAATGTTAAATATATCTATATAATTTTCTAATATATATCAATGTTTTTTAGTAAAAAATTATAAAAAAAAACTTTTCATCTATACTTATGCTTATTTTCACACATTAATTTGGAGCATTATTCACATTTTTATACAAACAAAAGGATTTTTAAAATATCAAAAATAAAACAAAGAAAAAACTTTTAATTTGTTTGGGTTGAGGAAAATGGAGGTGTATCACCCTCAATCCCACATCAATGGAGACTTGTGAGTAAGCCTGATATATAATTGTGGAAACCAATCACTATTAATAACTTGAGTTTAAATTTTTAAGGGCTTATAGACTTTGGCCTGAAGAGTTGTTAAACTAGTAGTAGATTTCAACCTAAGTTGTTTCAAGAGGGGATGGGAAGATTTTTGACCAATCAAACTATAATGTTTTTTAAATATTGTAATTTGATTAGTTAAAATCTTCTCCTCCCTTCAACCTAAACATATTATTAATTAAACATTTGAAATAGAAATGAGGAATACTAATGTCTCGAAAAAGAAGTTATTACTTATTCTTTTCTTCTTCTTTTTTTAAAAATGACAAAATTATATTAGTAAAACAAAAGAGAGTTGATTAGAGTGGTTCGAGAAAGTGAACCCCTAGTACATTTATCAAAAGATAGACATTAATCAAAAACAATAGAAGTTAAAGAAAGTGATGTTCCCATCTTGAAACATTGGTAAACAATAATTAAATAGCATAAAAAGAGTAAAACTCAATGTTAATTTTAGAAACCCCTTGGCAACAATAAAGTTAGAGGTTATCCTTTATATCTTAAAGCTTAACACTTACTTTATTAGTAATGCCTATATTCCTAACAAATCCCATAATCTAATTGTCATTATAATCTTTGAAGATCCTTCCTCTACCAATAGGTTTGAGAAAGGCAATCCTTTCAGTATTAATGTTTAATAAATTATAGAGAAGGCTTATGCTAGCAAAACATATCAACTTGCCCATTAGATAAATCAAACTGAAAAGGAAAAATTGATGAAAATTCAATAGTTTTATAAATAATGAGAGAAAGTTATTTAGAATCTTAAAATAAAAATCCTCATAAAACTTGTCATTCTTTTGTTACTAAATTTCCCAAATAAAACAAGGCAATCCAAGGAATTTTGAATAAGAGAATCATCCATGCATTTACTTCATGTTTGATGTTTGATTTAAGGGAAACAAAGTCCCATCCCATCATTTGGTTAGACTAAAATGCAAAATAATAATAATAATAATAATAATAATAAT